AGAGGGCCTTCTCTGGCTAGGACTCCACTAGACTGGCCAAATTTTTCTCAGAATTATACCATAGTCTTACTTCTCCTGATAAAGGAGATAAGATAAAGGGTAAAGGGGAAGTCTCTTGCTACTCTCCCTTTCTGTTCATGAGTGTGAGCCCTGCTGAGCAGAATAAGTCTAGCCCTGTCTACTCCTTTCCTCTATTTTCCCATAATCCATTTCTCATATATCTAATTCATCTGGCATTTGTCTCTTAAAAGGCCCCAGCTAGCTCTGAATAGTATCAGCTTCTAGACTGAAGATGGCTCCTGAAGGTCTAGCAAAGCAATGCAAGATATCCTTCCTCACATAGTGTCTTAGTTATGTTTCTCACTGCTGAGAAAAAGTACCTGGCACCAAAGTTCAAAGAGGAGAAGCTTATTGAGCTCACAGTTTCAGTCCATAACTGCCTGGCTCCAAGGCAGGGTGGAACATGGCAGAGAGGCAACCGTTCATGACGGCAGAAGACAGCAAAAGCAACAGGACAGTAAGAAAAAGAACAAGCCCCTTTCTGTCCCTCATATTGTGTGGTGGCTACCTGCCCTAGGGCGGGTGTAACATTCATATCCTTAATCCCAGCACTGAACCATGAATTGATCACAAACTCTAGATTCAGCCACTTCTGAAAAGCCTATATCCTCCATGACTGCATGAGGCTTTGGGGAAACACCTAGAAATAAATCATAACACTAAGCAAGCCATGTAACCACAGAAAACCAGAGAGATTTTGAAAGTTTGCACAGGAGATAAAAAGATCAACATCAAAACTACATGTAAAAATTCAGCATGTCTGCATTTCTCAACCATAATGTTGGAAGCTTGAAGATAACGCAGCCACATCAACATCATATGATTGGCATCCAAGGGTAAATGAAGGAAGAGAGATGGAGAGAAAAGTGGGAGAAAGGCGGAGAGAAGGAGAGAGAGAGAAAGAGGAGGAGGAGCAGGAGGCCACAGGGAGGAGGAGTAGGGGAAAGAAGGAGAGAAGGAGGAGAGAAGGAGGAGAGGAGGAAGAAAAAGGGAAGGGAGGGAAGGAGGGAGGGAGGGAGGGAAGGAGGGAAGGAGAGGGAAGAGAGGAAATTCAAGGTTTAGCAAACTGGGGCACAGTTGAAGGGAATGAAGTGAAAGGAGAATCTTGAGCAAAAGCCATGCAGCTGACTCAGAACAGCCATGTCCTGAGTAGAAGTAAGAAAAAAGACTTTCACAAAAAGCATGGAATAGACATTGAAATAAGAGTGTTTTACTGAGTCGGAGGAAATTTAGGAAAGAAATGAAGAAAAAGACATGCAGAAGAGTAAATAAATGAAAAATGATGTGATTACTAACCACAGGAGAAAAAAAGCTTCATTAGAAAAGGATATACAATTGTGATGTGATCCCAGGCTTAGAAGAAATGACACTTACAGATGCTAATAATGTAGAAGTCAGCATGAATCAAGAGTGGGTAAAAAGGTGAAGAAATTAGATGTTCAGCTTGAGAAGCAGTAAATTATATTCAAATAATTATATACAAAATATCTAGGACTACACCACTAAAATAGGATAGCATAAAGTATAATTCAGAAAAACAGATAAATCCCCAAAAATCACTAATATGTTTGATAAATTCCTCATTAGAGAGCAGAATCTAGGCAGGTAAAAGCATGAAATAAGGCACTGCTTTTCTAAAATATGCTTTATTTGAGTTTTTGAACTATGTTCATGTTTCTAAATTTTCATAAAATTAAAATTTTAATTAAAAATTGAAAATTACAAAAAAATGTAAATATACATCTTTCTGGAATTAGTTAGAGGTAATTTTTATTCTGGTCCAGTTTCTTGAGTGAAGTGTAAGAGTTTGGTTCTTCTCAGTGCAGTCCACTTCTTGCACTGAAGAGATACCTCTGCCAGCCAGATCAAAGCGAGGCCGGTGGCTGTAAGACTTGAGTGCTTGTCTTCCTCAAAAGCTGTTCACAGCAGCCCTAAATCCAAAGGAGATATCTAGAGATGGGGCTTGGGAGGGACCAAGGTGAGGTCATGAGGGTGCAGCTTTCATGATGGCATTGGTGTCCTTATGAGAAGTAGGGCCAAAGAACTTTCTTCCCGGCCTCCCTCCAGTCCTCCCTCTCCCCCTGCTCTCTCAAAAATGAGATCATCTAGAAATGCAGTGAGAAAATGTATAAACCAGAAAGTAAGCTCTAAGCAGAAACTGACCATGTTGGCACCCTGATCTTGGAATTCTAACCTGCAGAACTGTGAGAAACTAAACTTCTTTTGTGTGCCCTGCAGTCTGTGACAAGCAGAAATGACTACGGCAAGGGTCCAGGGGGCACATAGCATGATTTTTTTCATGTTTCATCAAAAAATGTGCCATAGTAATTATCAGAGTACATTTTCTTTTGGAACTATATATATTTTAGCAAGGGAAATTACCTATAATTAGAAAAGCATTTTTATCTCATATCTATTTGAAACATTACTTCCTGAATAGCATTAAGATAGCCATCAACCTTAGGAAAGAAGGAAGGAAAAAGAATCACAAGTAACACCTCCTTCTACTGTACACCGACTACATCCTGGTGTTTGCTGAAACATGCCTGTTAGCAACAAATATCTCTGGTTATTAAGGGATACACATTTTTGTTGCATTGTGTAGTCCTATAACAAAAAGTAGAAGCAATACCTTCAAATTCAAACCAGTTAATTGTTTTATTATACAAAGATTTAGAAAAATGCTTTCCAAAGAAAAAAGATTGGCTTGACTCTGTAAACTATTAATAACTTTAAAACTTTGACCTTGATTTTGCTTGTTTTGAAAGTATTTTATTCTATTAGTACATGTTTGTGGTACACAACGATTACATTCCTTGTGGGGAGCTGGTACAGCTACAAAATACATCTTTTTTTGTTTGTCTCTAATTTGAATATCCCAAGTAGGAATTTTTACCTGGTGATAAATGTGTGGAAATAAATATTATAAACTTAAAATTAATTCAGAGTTGGTTAAATTTTTTGAAACATAGATCATGAATCACAGTGATTATTAATGAGAAAACTCAAAAGAAAATATGTGAGAAGTACTATTATGATACTGAACCAGGGTAAAACACTACCTTATATTTATATACCAACTCCCATACAGTGATAAACAATGTAAAAACTGTAGTAGATGAGCTTGAAGTCCAGTTTCATTAAAATTGTTAAACTACATATCCTGTTGTTGCGGACCAAATTTCTGTTTAACTTGTTCACCATGAAGGGTACAAAAGGCTTCCCCTATGATCTCCTAGCCACCTGTATATATCCACCTACATGATGGCTTGAACCACAGCTTACCCGAGTCTGGGCAGAGCACCTGGTGATCTATAACAGGAGAAGCGGGAGGTTTCTGAGGGGCTCCTCCAAGCCCACCCTCAGCTCAGTTTCCTATCTCCCATGGGAGACTGTGATGAGTTTCCCATGTCTCCAAGGTTCTGAGGAAGTTTGAAACTTTCTGTCTTCCCTCCTCTGAATAAAGATTCGGAATATAAAGCCATTTTGCTAAAGTATGGAATTTACCCCTTAGCAATGGGATGTCCTGCAACTCACAGTGCAGTCATCTAACTTCTCAGCCGCTTGCTGGTGATTCTTGTGTTTGATTTTGTGTTGGTGTATAAAACAAGGATCATGAGATGCTGCCAACTATTGGCTAAATCTCTATTCATCAATTGTGCAAACATGTACAGAAAAACCAAAGGGAATCAAGGGGTGGGCAGAGGGAGGAGAGAGGGAAGGGAAGGGATTAAAAAAGGAATGAAAATGTATTATGTACTTCTACCAAACTCTCAAAAGGGTTGTACACATTTTGTCCTAGATACATACACCAATGTATCAGTAAACTAAAAAGAGGAATAAACTACTAAATCTAAAAGTGGTTTCTTATATCTTTACTTGTCCAGTGAGTCAGGCCTTAGACTTGTCTTTGCCTTGTTTGTGTTTGTGAGTTGATCAAAGATAGTAAGGAAATTCCCCTGCTCACTACACAGATGGTTTATATTGTTCATAATATCTATTAATCTTACAGCTATATTATCTCAAAAGCCAATTTATTGAAAATTCTACTTTGGTAAAATATTTGTTACAAAAACTTTGTAGCTGTCCACATAAAATTATAAACTCTGTATCAGAGAAAATTGAATTAGCTTGCCAATCTTGTGACAATGAACGATAGCCACAGCATTCTTATAGTAAATCTCCTCACTTTAAACTTGTGCAAATTCTATGACTAAGAAAATTTTCTCTATGTTCTCTTTTCTCGGTTTTGAACAAATAAAATAAAATGGTTTTGCCACAAATTCAGTTTTAAAAACACCATAGACATTCTTATTCTTTCACAAGCACACTTGAATAAAGAGATTTCAAATTGGACAGAAGGAGTGAACTTAAATCTTAATTGTTTAGTGGGAAAAAGAAATGGGACAGAAACCCAATCACTGAACACTGATGTTCCCTTGATGTGGACATTGTGGAAGATGAGAAATAGTTCCCAAAGCAGCAAGGTGCTTTGATTCTTGAATAACACAGAAAATAAAAATTTAACCATTATTATCATCATTAATTTGTCTGTTAAATTTATATTTTTCCCAAAGAAAATTTAAACTAAAACTATAGGTGGGCACAGGCAAAACACAGTTAATTTAATGCTTAAAAGCATAGAGATTTCTGCATTCATCTACAATTTCTCTGACACTACCCAATAAATTGATATAATATGTGTGTTCATTCATCAAACAAACAAGTTCATCTTGTGATACATAGCATAACCAAGAAAGGTAACTTGTCACTATTTCAAAGGGGCCTTAAGTCTCAATTTGTTTTCAATTGTTATTTATTTTCAATTTGTTATTTTATTTTATTTCAAAGAGAAAAAAATAATAAAATAACAACAACAAAGACAAAAACAAAACAACACAGAGACAATAAAAACGATACAGAATTTCAAAACAAGATGATAGGAAATTAATAATGGTTGTTTTATTACATATTGTTATCTAGCAGCATGGAATAAAACACTTGACAAAGTGTTTATTGCTGCCGTAAGTATACTGAAAGGTCACTGAACTGTGCACTTGTTTTCATTTCTGGAGAGACATCTGTTCTTGAATCTTCCTGAGCTATATGATCCACCTTCTTCCTCCCATGGAACAAGCATGCCATGGTGAAGGTCCAAGGTACTAACCCTTATCCAAATACTATTTTTATCTTCTACCTATTATCAGGAAATAAAAACACCAATAATACACAAATTGGCATCCCAATTTTACCTGAAATGCAGAGAAACAGAATCTTCCTCGGAGCCAAAGAAATTCTAGAATGTCCTTGAGAAGGTAATATATTGAGGACCATACAGTAAGCAAAGGTTTATAACACAGGATCCAAAGCAACCATCACATCAAGAAGTAATTTTTTAATCTCTCCCTGTGCTCAGCAGTAAACCAATATCAAAGTAAGCCAAGTCAGAAACCATCATTCAAGTATGTGACTGGGCTGAAGTTTGAAGGAATTCTGCTAATCTTCCATAATTCAATTATGTTGTTTCTCATTTTGTAGCTTACGTATTATGTTCATTAGGAAGGGAGTTGACTACTATTTCATGGAGACATTATTATTTGCAAGTCATTTAAACTATCTGTAAAGATAACTAAGAAGAATTCCTTGGACTAGAAAAAAAAGCCCATATAAATTTAACCAGCACTGAACAAAGAGAAACAGAAAAAAGAAAAGAAGGGAGGAAAGAGAAGAAGAGAGAAGGAGGGTGCAGGAGGGAAAGAAGAGGGGGAAAGAGAAGAGGAAGCATCTAAAATCCTGGGATCATAACAGTAGGAAAATGTGAATTCAAAATGAGTTAGGGTAATAATAACAGCAACAATAATATTACTTTTAGCAATGCTTACTTAACAGTAGCACTTTGCTAAACATGTATCTCATTTAATAGGTGGCAACAGTATCATGACTTCTAAAACAAATATCTCAAGTTTGTACAGGGTTACCATGAAGATAAAAGTTGAAACTCAGTTCTTTGTGTCCAGGACCCATGGCCTTATGTTTGTAATTCCACAGACACTCGTAACCTGGAAGCTTAAAATCTGCCAAATTGTTGGTCTGTTTTGACCAGCCTTCCACAAGGATTGCTGTCAGGTGCAGTCCACAAAGGATGCGCTGCCTTCAGTCAGTGGCCAAAAACCTCAGCTGAACCCTAAGGTGTGGACCTGTCCCTGTAGTCCCGTGTAATAACCTTGGCTGTCACAGACCACATGCCTGGATGGTGATAGCTGTAGGCTGTTCCTCCTCATGGGTCTATATTTTCTGAAAGAGAAAAATGACTGTGTGACTACTGCTGCTGCCACCGCAGGGATCCAGGCTTCGTGTGCAAACCAGCCTGATAAGAGCCTGAATTCCGAGAAGGGCAGAACTGTTAGGGAAGTGCGGCAGGACGGTTAGGAAAGTGCTCAAGATAATAAAAGAAAACCTGAGAGATAAAGGAAGAAAAATGAGATGGAAGCTGTGACTAGACAGTGCTATTGCTATTGCAAGGAAGAAATCCATTAAAATGAAGAATTTCAGAGAGAGAGAGAGATAGGAAGGGAAATGCTGAAGAAGTCAAGGATTTCTTCCATTTGTCTTTCCCTCGAGTCTAGAGGTCAGGGCCTAGACAGACACATCTCCGGGGAGCACTGTCATGTATTTGGTAAAATTACTTCATCTTCTGCCTGCAGATAAAATTAACAATACTTGGTCACGCCAGTTGCTATTATTTGCTAGTCTCCCTTCAGTTAAATTATTGTTCCACACAGTCATCAAAATTCTGAGTTTAAGTAGAAGTCGGAGCTCTTCCCTGCCCCAGAGGTATGGTCAGCCCCTGCCTTCTCACTCCGTGCTCCATTCCTCCTCTCCACTCACTCCCTCATACAAATCTTCATCCAAGGTTTCTGGTCTTTCCAGGCACCTGGCTGGAGAGGTGGAGAGTTAAGAGAGCAGCATTCTATATCTACAGTCATAGGACAGCAGCACTCCCTGGGTTTGGCTTTTGTTTAAAGCTGGCTCTACCAAGAAAGACTTCAGTGGGTTATTTGGAGAGGCTTCTCCTTCAGAAAGTTCACCTGACATTCTCCAGATTTGGATCTACCTGGTTATGTATGCTTTCTTCAGCCCCAATCAATTTAGCAATACCTCCAACTTCTTTCTGTAGGCCTTTTGGAAAGTCCTAGGATGATTGCAGGACTAAGCTGTCTCACCCACGGCCCACATCACATTCATAGGAAATACTTGCCTGATCTTTGCCTAGTGGACGCTATGGGAGCTGGAGAAGGGAGGGTGCTAACACAACCATTTCACCTTTTGTTTGTCAATACAGCTACCTAGCCAGCCTGAGAGACAAATACCAATGCACTGTGTTCTTCTGTCTTACAGAATACAGGTCCAAACCTTCATGTGGTCCGGTACAAGAACCAGTTTAGTGTGAGAGACAGGCGTTGTTCACAACTGACCCTGCAGGAGTGTGAGGGTTGAACTTGTCAACATGTCTGGATGAACGACTCCTGGAGAGGCAAATGGATCACGGTGTTACACTCACCCCTGGACTGATTCATGGATGTTCACAGCTGAAAGCGCTGCTCAGAGGGTGGGCCCTGGGCAGTGCCTTTTGAGGCTCTGTCTCTCAAGAGCACTCTTCCTCCACTTTGTGCTTTCTGGCCTCCAAGAAGTGAGCGGCTTGGCTCTGCCACGCCTTCCTGCTGTGATGTCCACCGCACCTAGACATACAGTAGTAGAAACAGCCAAGCGGCCACCCTGAATCTTCGGAAGCCAGGAGTCACACTAAACCTCTCCTCCTTTAAATTATGAGTACTAGGTATTATATATCAACAATAAGAAAGCTGATCCATACAAGGAGGCATGGACTCTCGGGACAGCTCATCAAAGAAAGTCTCCTAATGAACTACATTTCAGTCTGCTTCTCTACTCTTCATACTCCTGGTTAGGGTGAAGAGTTGAGGAATGATCTACTCATTCTCAGCTTCTAAAATCCTGGCCCAGCACTTCACCCTGGAATAAGTATCTGCTGTTTTGCAACCTACACTTCCATTTCACCATTTTATTACCAGATGTTGTGTATGATCTACAGTTAGTATTTTCTGTGTTTGGGTAAAACCCAATTTTCCTCAGTCCTCCCCAGATTGGAAATATAAAGTTCCAGGCAATTTTAACGCCCAAATTATGATGGCAAGTGCCCCTGCTCTTTTGATGACTAGTGACTATCACATCTCTAAATATCCCGAGCATATTTTTAAAAGTTTCCCCCAAAGGGTGCCACACACACGCCCAAACCCACTTAGTAACTGCACAGTGCGTGCTTTTTCCTTCCTGTCCTACTCTGGCTTATAATTTCCCACATTCCCTTCTCCCAGATCTGAGGAGTGTCAGATCATTTCTGGATCCCAAGGGGAAGTGGAATAAATAGCTTCCTTTCCAATTTTATGCCACATTTGGCCATTCGGACTCTGAAATGGCTCTTCTTTCCCAGAAATTGACTTTTGGCCACATCCTACTTTGCATGAATCCTCCAAATGTCTTCTAAAAAAAAAAGAAAAAGACAGAGTGTGATTATTTTTGAAGACAGTCACTTTTCTTGGCTTGGACCGTCTAGCCTAGCATCAGGGTGAAGAACGACTCCCATCTTTAGCTCCCACAACCACAGGCTGCACCACCCAAACTCCACCCTCCTCCTCCCTCTTGTCCCTGTAGGCAACAGAAACCTGCTGTGTGCTAATGTCTGGGAGGCAAGGAGAGGTTGAGGTCTGACTACTAATTCCAGGGCCAGTGCTCATCTGGCTACGGTTATCAAATATTATCATTTACTTAATAAATGTAAGAGCCATTCAGGAAAAGAAGTAAGCAATGCACGGCAATATACATTTGCTACTAATCCAGGGGAAATTATAAGTGTGAGTACATTTATAAACCCAAAGAATGTCTCCAGAGGACCTATGAAAAACTAATTGATAAAAGTGGTTGTTTCTAGGATGGGAACTTGGCAGTCTGGATCACAAGTAGAAAAAAAAATTCTTTTTACTACATTTCATTTTGTACCTTCTTAATATTTTATATGTGCATGTGTTCCCTGTTCAAATTGAATTTTAATGACTACCCAGGAAAATGTTTTCAAATTCATAATTTTTAAACTTGTTGGCTATATATTTTTGATCACTCCAATGATAAATGACTTCCAATGGGAAAAAAGAAACCATGAAAAGTTCTTCCTTGTTTTGTGTGTAATCATAAGGTACAGTCTCCTAAAAAGTACAGCTCTAAAGCTTGTCTCCCTTTTGTAGAGTTCTGCCAAATATAAGCTTTTTCAGTAAGTTTGCATATCCCTGAGGAATTTAGACAGTGACAAATTGCAGACAGTGGCTGACACTTTATGTATTCTTTATAATATACATTCACTATTCCTTGCTGAATCTTGCCAATGTTCTTTTAGATGGACAAATATCAAAAATTTTAAAACAAGAACACAAATTAGAACATCATTATCCTATACATTTCTAATTTAGCTATTCTAAATTTATGTACAAGATATCTGGAATGAACTTATACTTTACATGAACAGGTGCATCACTTTTTCACTTTTCTCTCGGGCTCTTTCTAGAAGACTAAAAAATGTTTTATAAGTAAAAATAGAGAAAGGAATTTGTTGTGTTTATAGCACTCAAATATTCTCACTGACAAGGAAATGTAACCTAATTTTCTCAGGACCTTAGCAAATGGGTTGGAATGGAGAGAGAGAGTGTTATCAGAAAAAGATAGGGTGAATAATTCAGAAATGGCACACAGGAAAATTGAACATGGCACCAGTGTAATCTCTACCCAGTCCTCACTGACAAAGCTCAGAGAAAGCTTAGTGCCCTGAGCCCTGTGCTTTCCTCCCCTTCGGTCCTTATGTTAGCAGGTTTTCCCGTGACTGACTCACTCTCCTCAACTTTAGGAGTATGTTCAAGACTCCACTATTTCTCTCTCTCTCTCTCTCTCTCTCTCTCTCTCTCTCTCTCTCTCTCCCTGAAATGTACAGACACAAATTCATTGTCACAGGGCTGGGGATTTAGCTCAGGGGCACAGCGCCTGCCTGGCAAGTGCAAGGTGGTGAGCTCGATTCCTGGCACAGAGAAAACAAACAAACAAACAAAAAACAAGCAAATTCATGATCACACACATTCACATGAATACACACACGATGAGAAATATCCATAGACACGCACAGACACACAGGCACAGACATATACAGGGACACACACACACGCTAAGAGACACAGGCATGTGCAGAAACGTCGCCCACAGCTCACCTCATAGACATGCTCTGTCTGTCCCCGGGGCTCAGCATGCCTCCCCTGGCGCTGCCCTCGTGCTCCCTCCTGCTCCTCTGCCGGGCCTTTGGAAGGTGCACTTGCTACTTTTATGCCTCACCTCGCTTTCTTCCTCTCTCTCTGCAGCCTGCGCCTGATTTACCACATCAATAAACTGCTCTCTCTGGTCACTGGTCGTATCCTACTGGCCAAACCCACTGTACACCTTTCAGTCCTCGTCTTACCTAGCCCCTTTTAGCAGCTGACCTCGTTTAATAATCCCTGTGGAAACACACTTATCAACTGAATTGCACAGAATTTGTCCAAATCCTGAGGACAGACAGAGCTTTTCTCTCCCTTTTTACTACTCACTGTATTTAACGACGTTAAGATTACTTGTTTGATACATATTATATGTCAGGAACTGTCCAGGGTATGCAAAGTAAAATATATATGTATTTTTTCTCATAGAACTTCCTGACAACTTTTGGGGGGTGGAATAAACTCAGCAACTACCATAATGGATAATAAGTGTTCTAACTGGAGAGGTGCAGGGTGCTATGGTAAATGGGGAGATAGAGCAGGGGCACCTCACCCCTTTGAGCGGTCAACAAGCACAGCTTTCTGGAGAAATATGTGTGTATGAGTGCAAAGGGTGCACAGCAGTGACCAAGGAGAGAGCACTGGAGTGGTACGGGGGGGGGCAGAAGATGTGGGGGTCTACAGGTGAGAGAGAGGGCACCACTCCTTTGAGGCACTGAAACAATCTCTCAGGAATGGAATGACTATGTCATTGAGGGCTACTGTAAGAGGGTGACAGATTATGTGCTCTTAGATATATTATCTAATTTATTCCAAACAAAGTCGCATGATAGTTGCCATTATCCTTATTTCTACAGAAAATAACTAAAATAGAAGTTAATATAGAAGCTTGCTATCTACCAGTTAGTTTTAGTGCTTAATATATCTTAATACCCGAATGGATTAAATCTCTACTGCAGACTTATATCATATAGAACTGCGTATGTGTGTGCTATTGTTATCCCTGTGCTTATTTTATCAGACCACACAGGTGTCAGCGAGAGCCGCAGGCAAATCCAGACAGTGCACACAGTGCGAGGGTTGGAGAAAGCGTCGTCAGAGCACTGCAGGATGGCCGTTAGTGATGCAGACCAGCAGCAGTGGGAGGGAAGAGTGGGAGCCTAATGAAGAAGAAGAACACAGGAGAATAGGCAAGAGGACTGGGAAGGGTGGAGGCACAGAAGAGCAATACAAGCTACAGCCATTAAGTCTGTGTGATCCCATTTACCTGTTTTTATTTATTGCTTTATATTTCATTGGTAGTTAAAGCTGACTGAAAACAATCATTACCAATTTCTTCAGAAATTCTTTATAAAGAAAACAATAGCCGCACAGATAAGTTGTCAAAATTCCTTGTGAAATATCCTTGACACAACCACCGACATGACTGAATTTATTTTTTGGCATAACAAAGGGTCTTCCCTCTACAACCTAACTTTAAAATAAAAGCAGTGTGATTAAAGGAGCACCAAATGCATGCCAGAGCTAAACTGCGTGCTTTATATGCATTATCTCATTTAGTTCCCCAGAACAGGCTACATATTATTATCTTCATTTTACTGAATGAAGCTAAGATCCAGAGATATCAAATAACTGTGTGGGTAGCATATCTTATGTTAGTAGGAGACAGAATCCAAACCCTAACTACCTGAGTCTAAAGCCCATATTTGCTCTGTTCCACTGTAGGCAAATGAATCTCAGGTATCCTAAGTGGTCCTGCTGAATGAGCTAAGTAACTCTCTGCTGGAGGGGTGGGATAAATGCCTTTATGCTTGTGCTACATAATAACTCTTACCACATCCTGCCCTGCCATCCCACAGCATTCAAGACCCTTCCTAATTTATAAACCGCTTCCAAAGAGCCTGCTCAGCTTACCTCTCCACACTGCTGTTTTTCTTTCACAGTCTACCTCATCCCTTCAGTGATATAGTATTCTAAAGTACCGTTAACATCATGGACAGTTTTTCATTATGTATTCTGAATTATTCTTTTAATTTTTTCAAAGAATATACACATTATTATTCCAATTTGAGGGTATATATATATATATATATATATATATATGGCTTAAAATACATACTAAAATATCATCAACATCTATTTCAGGAAGGTTTTATAGATGATTTTTATTTGCTCATTTGTTTTCTGTTTTTTCAATTTCATCAATAAAAATGCATTTTCACAATAAAGTTTGTATGATATTTTTGCAAGAGCTGTTGCAGTGATGTAGCATTCCCAGCATGATTATCCCGTTCTGTCATTTGTTACAAGGGGAAAATCCATTTACAAGAGTAATTGGATCCGTAGTCATGTTGGTGAGGATGGATGTGCTATTTGTATCATGCATATCACCATTTGAAGTGGAAGACTGAAGTTGGATCCATATGTGTCCAGGTAGAAATAATTTCTCTGGCAGACAATATGTGTAGTAGTGGGCTGAGCAAAATAAAGTCATTTCCCTACAGTTTCTAAGTTTGAGGGAGAGAAAAAAGTACAATGTGTATTTTAACGATTGGTTTCCCGCCAGGGGCCCTGGTAAGTCTGTCAGCTGGAAATAAGGCTTTGCACACCTCTCCGATGCATAATGGAAATAATCTGTCTTGGAAAAATAAATTCATTAGCAGCAGAAGTCATAAGCATGAAAGAAAAAAAAAGTGCTGTCATTACCCATCTGAAGCCTAAGCAACAGTTCCTCTTACCTTCAGTGGCTTTTCTTCATTTTTCAATCCAATGCTATCCAGTTCAAAGACAGCAGATAAAGCTGTTAGAAGCAGTTATAGGAGCACGAAATTTGCATGCAGAGGATTTAATGTTAATGAACTCCAAAATGAGAGAAAAAGTGAAAGAGCAATGCTTTTTCTTCTCTTTGTTTCGTTTTTTGTTTTTGTTTGTTTTTCTTCCGGTACCAGGAATCGAACTCACGACCTTGCGCTTGCCAGGCAGGTGTTGTGCCGCTGAGCTAAATCCCCAGCCCTTTTCTTCTCTTTTAAAACTTAGTCCACAAGAACTTTTCTTTCTGTTTTAAATGTTACCCTGGCCCTGTACCTTATACAGCTCCTTTTTATATCTCAATTATCTGAAACATTCTCACTATTCTTTCCCTACCTCCCAAGAGCTTTGAAAATGACACTCAGCATCTCAAAATTTTATTTTATTTTATTTTATTTATTTATTTATTTATTTTTTTGGTTTTTCTCTGGTATCGGGAACCGAACTCATGACCTTGCGCTTGCCAGGCAGGCCCTTTTGCCGCTGAGCTAAATCCCCAGCCCCAGCATCTCAAAATTTTAAAGGGGACTTTAGGATTTTCTGTTTCAACTGCCTTATTTTGTTAAGATGATAAAACTGGAGGCTGCAGATGATAAGTGATTTCTCCATGATGACAAAGATGATTAAGAGCAAAGGATAGAGATGCTTGTCTCCTAATTCCACATTAAGTAATTCTTCCATTTTACCACATATTGTCTCAAAAGAATCAGTAAATTCTATATAAAGACTTCTCCAATGAAGTCATTTTTGGAAAAGCATCCTCTAAAGAAAGTGGAAGGCCTTTTACCAACTCTCCTTGGTTCTTGAAACTGGAGGTCTCTATACAGTTAATAGTAGTCACTTTTCAAGGAGCTACTATTAGTCATAACTGCCAAGTGTTTCCCTTTCAAACAGCTTTCAAAATACCTGTCAAAATTCCCACTTCACTGACCAGAAGACTGAACCATGGAAAAATAAGCAATCTCCTAAGCTCATATAGAGGAAAAATAGCAGAGCCAATGTTCAAACTCCAGTTTTGAATTCTTTTTACACTAAACTATGCTGCTTCTCCTTTCATGATTTGAAAACTTAACTCAGAGGACAAGATTATTTACTTATGCTGCTTTTTTTACTTTTAAAAGACAAAAAAAATTAAGATTAGCAAAAAAAGCCCCATGTATTCATAGTATTTTTTCTTGTTTTTATTCCCTTATTCATTAGTTAGGCATTGAAAGCACAGATAGTAATGCAACACTAGGCAGAAGCTAATGTAAACATAGTGGAGTATTCAGTACAGCAATCTAATACCGGAGGGGATTACTTACTTAATGTATGAAGTACACTTAATATGTTGTTCTGGGATGTGCACTTAGGAGGGAAAGGAGTTTAGAAATCTGAAGACAGCAACATTATTAAACTGTTAAAAGGCAAAGAAATACACAAAGAAAGGAATTACATTGTCAGCTCAAGAAATCAACATAATAATAGTTTTCCATGTATGAAAGATTATTATCCTGAATGATGATAGATATTCTCCATTCCTAAATAAGACCAAAAAATGTAATAAAACATGGAGGGTTTGGCTAAATGTAGTCAATAATCTGCTAAGCATGAGAGATTTAAAAGTTTGGCCTAATTTTTGGAAATAAAAAATGAAGATTCAAGAGCACTGGAATCTGTAATCCTGTAAGACTATAAATTAGTGGTTAACACATGGTAAAACCATGATTTTCCTCTAAGGTACATTTGGGGAAAAGAATGGGGACAAAATTGACATCAAAGTCCCTGTCATCTCTGTAGTTTTGTACAGTGAGGCATTTTCATATCATTATCTCATTAGCTATCTAATTTTACCACTTTCCAGCTAAAATTTTTCCAATTATTCCAGAAATACTGGCCAACATTTGCATGACCATTGCAGCCCACTCTCTGCCATCTGCATGTGATTCGGAGCAGGTGGTTCGCTGCCCAAGCAGGCCAGCAAGCAGCTTCAACAGCCCAAGGGCAGGCCTCTGAAGCAGGAAGAAGGGCCAAGCAGTTAGAGGCACTGCAGACGCGGAACAGGCAAAGGGAAACTGGCAGAGCTTGGCACAACACTAGCAGTGCTCGCTCTAGAGTACTGCACCATCTCACCAGCACTCACAACGTGGTATTAACCATGTGATTTATTCGACCAGTTAGTTAGGTAGTAGCTGTCCCGAGTGTTGATTCACTGAGGCAGCTTGTGTTTCCCTAGATCTGTTCCCTGAAACTGGTA